CCCCAAAACCCCAAAACCCCAAAACCCCAAAACCCCAAAACCCCAAAACCCCGATTATTTGATTTCTATTGAATTTTTGAAAACTTGCATTCTAGCCTATTAGACTGGTCAACTGCTCAGCATAGGTTCCCTTGGCTCTACTCCCCTTAGATGAGCTAGCTACAGAACTGCGGAATTGTCTTGATGATGCTGAACCTATGGGTTAAGAAAGACAAAGTTACCTGTTGATTTCATGCCATAAAATCTTTTCAAATTTTTGCCATACATTGGATGTCTCTGTGCATTCATCTCATGATTCTTTAATCTCCTTTCGTTTAGAACAGAAGTCTTCTTAGGTTTACTCATGGGAGGTTTGGTGTTAGGATCTACTATAATCTCACCATGTGGAGGCTTCTCCACCCCATAGAACTCAGCAGTGTTGTCTTGGAAAATACTTCCCATTTCACTGGACTTATAACTATTTCCATAAAATTTAGCAGTATCTCTCTTAAAGTGCTGTTTCTTTTCAACGTTCGTTAAATTTGAAGTTGTATTTCTGTTATGAGCATTGGAAACTTTCTGGAACTCTTCAATCATCTGATTAGTAGTCATATCCTTCTTAGATGAGGATTGGACTGTCCCTGGGCGAGGCTTTGGAATTTCATTCGTTGTATAAAATGCATTCTTTGCTCTACTCATTTCACTCTTATCAGAGAGAGGAATTCCATAGAACTTTTTAGAATCTCTTCCATATTCCTTTTTATCTCCATCCTCAACTCTCAGAGGGGTATGCTTAGGAGGAAGAGTAGGCTTTCATCCCTTTTTGATAGATTTAAAGTCAACTTCTTGCATAAATCCTGGTGTTGTTGTGTAAAATTTTCCAATATCTCTCTTAAAAGTTTCCTTATCAAAATTTATAGGCTTCTCAGCGGTTTGATTTCTGTAATTTTGTCTACCTTTGTTCACTGGTGCAGTGGAAGGTTTGTTAGAATTTGCTTGGATATTCTCTCCATAAGGGTTAAATTTTCCATCTAATTCCTTTGCTCCAAGTAAAGGATACTCTGGATTTAGAGGATTCACAACTCTCTTAGTACTAGGCGCTTTCTTGAGTGACCCTACTTGAGCACCAGGAATATCCTTAGTGTTATTAATATCTCTAACTTCTCTCCTTTTATGAGTTTTAAATGCACGAAGGCCCTTAGATCCTGGTTTCGTTCCATCAATGTCTTCAACATTAAGATTAAGAGCATTAGGTCCTTTCTGTCTTAACAGAGGCTCTTTTGGTTTACTTCCTTCAATATTTCCAATTTCTTCAACTTGTCCCTCCTCAGTCCTGTGAAAATAAGAAGGATTCAATGGATTTGTATTTCTCTTTGACTTAAACTGATCGTGAGTTACATCTCTGTAATCTAAACTTGAATACTTGGCTCTTCTCTGAGGGTTTGCCTTTGGCTTAGTTCCTTCAATATCATCGACTTTCAGGTTGTCCCTAGTAGCAAAATATTTGGGCTTTTTAGGTTTTGACCCTTCAATATCATCATTGTTAATATTATCCCTTATGAATTTAAGTGGTTCAGGTTCAATGACATCTACTTTAGGAAGACTGTAGTCAGGATTTAAAGGGTTTACAATTCTTTTAGTATGAAATTTTTGAAACTCTGGTTTACTTTTATCGATATCATCATTTTGTAAGTTGTACTCAGGCTTATTAAGTCCAATATGGAGTGCCCTTGGACCAGATCTATCAATATCCCAGTTTTGGTTTGAATACGATGCTTTATTTTTGTACTGATAGCCTGGGGCTTTAGGTTTAGCTCCATCTATTCCTTCCACGCTTAGGCTTTGATTCCAATGTCGACCAGAATGAAATTTCTTTACTTTATTTATGCATAAAATCTTGTCCTTCATTAATTGTTGATAATCCCATTAGTTGGGATCTCTGTGGAAATGGATAGTCAAATGGGTTCGGTTCATGAGAAATCGGATTCATTTTAAAATATAAATTCAAAATAAACTTTTGAAATGGGGTTTTGGGGTTTTGGGGTTTTGGGGTTTTGGGG